GCAGTAATACCAGGATGGTGAAGGATAGTGGCAGTAATACCAGGATGGTGAAGGATAGTGGCAGTAATACCAGGATGGTGAAGGATAGTGGCAGTAATACCAGGATGGTGAAGGATAGTGGCAGTAAACCAGGATGGTGAAGGATAGTGGCAGTAATACCAGATGGTGAAGGAGGATACCAGATGTGAGGGATAGTGACAATGATACCAGGATGGTGAAGGAGAGTTGCAGTGATGCAAGAATGGTGAGTCAATCCCGGGAAAACCCTCACCCTGGCGTGTTCCAGTGATGGTGATGATGATGGTGATATTGAGCAGGAGTGTGTGACGGATGCTGTGGTTCACATCACCCACACACACACCCACACACACACACACACACACCACACACCACACACACACACACACACACACACACACACACATATACACATCACAGTTGAATCACCAGACTGACAGACCGTCACAGGTCTTTCCTGTGTCGGTCATAGATGTTCTCCCTAACATCCCTGTGGCTCATTTGGGTACAAAGTTTCCACCTGTATTTCCCCCGTGCTAAACAGTGTGTGAGTGTTGTGTGTGTGTGGTGTGTGTGTCTGTGTGTGTGTGTGTTGTGGTTGTGTGTGTGTGTGTGTGTGTGTGTGTGTGTGTGTGTGTGTGTGTGTGTGTGTGTGTCCCTCTCCACCTTCCCTGCACACACACACACACACACACACACACACACACACACGCCCTCCCCACAAGGACTGTGATGGAGAGAATAGAAAGAAGAGAACCATATTCGTTGGCGCCAAGTTTATTAATTGCCTAAACGTTCTCATTTTTCTCTCCATCTTGTAAATATTGCTGAAGATATCACTGGTTATTATTACATTGATGGGAACATTTTGAGAGAACGAAGCATCAATAAATAGATGTTAATGCTTGACTGACCACTCCATGCGGAGCCTATGTACCAATATGAATATATTGATACACATTAATATATATTATATATTAATATATCGCAACTTAATACCCACCCAGGCTTCAACTATTTATGTTCACAACAAAATATATAACCTATTATATATATATATAATATATATATATATATATATATATATATATATAAACATTTTATTATTTAACCAAAAACAGAGGATAAAAAACTATGACAGCCAGCAAGACATATGTAGAATCAAAGTCGATATCATCAAACGACGTGTATATTAATATATGCTTCAGCACACATAAAATTACATATAGTTCAGCGGCAAATTAATGTTTCCGATGAGGAGGGGAGGACACATACACAATGTATCACCACTCAAGTCCATGCTAAATGATACACTGAAGAGTCAGATCTTGTCATACAGACAGGGAGAGATTACCACCAAAGAACATGACTGTGTTCTAGCAATATCCAGTGAGACACTTTCACATTGCATTAATAAACATATGTCATTTATGATGCGTATTATACAGATGATCAACATATTTAAACTATAAACACTGACGGTGTAGAATTTTCTTACTGGTTGGACGCCGAAATACGGATTAATGATCAGTGATCCGGATTATTGATCTTTATAAGTGTGAGATTGTAAGTGTGTTGTCACTCACAAGTGTGTGACTTAAACGCCTCTGAATATACTGAATATCTTTAAACTCCCACAAAAAAACAGATACAAGCACAGATATAAAACACACTAATTTCACCATCGTAAAACACTTTCAACATAACGTCCCCAAAGCGAAATAAGTGATATATAAAATCCATATAAGGTAAGAGTATAGGAGTGAGAGGCAGGCGCGCGCCGCACACCTCCACACACCAGCCCCGCCACGGGGACACTGGCTCCACCACGTGCAAACTCTGCAGTTTTAAATGACACACTTGGCTACCCCCGCACCGGCGAGTTGCCAGGCGCCACCAGGTACATGACATGATCATATATAATGGTACATGTCAGTTATATTGTATGGCATGAGGGAGGTACATATACATGGGTGGACATGTGGGTAAATAGGGGACATGCAGGTTAATAGGGAACATGCAGGTAAATAAGGAACATGCAGGTAAATAAGGGACATACAGGTTAATAGGGAACATACAGGTAAATAGGGAACATGCAGGTAAATAGGGAACATGCAAGTAAATAGGGAACATGCAGGTAAATAGGGAACATGCAGGAACACGCGAAATATGTGGAGCTGAGATACAAGGTAGGATTTCTCACCTAGTTGTGTTTGCGGGGGTTGAGCTCTGGCTCTTTGGTCCCCCCTCTCAACTGGTGTACAGATTCTTTAATGCATTCCTATAATGCATTCACTAGAACACTATATTGTTGAATGTGAAACCGTAAAGGACTTTAGACCTCCTGGCCTCTTGTACTACCAACTGTGTAACTATTTCATTGAATCAGGTGTACTGGACGACATCCTATTTATCCAAAATTTGCTTGTCCATTTTAAAAAAAATGAAGAACAATTTTACTCATATTATTTTTAAGTTGCATCTCTTATAAACCCATCCCTGTCCTTGTGTGGCAGTGCACAATAGAAAATTGTATTTACATATTGGTACATTGAAACGTGTATACTGTCTTATGTAGTTGATTGTAACCATGATATATATATGTGCTTCAGCCTACAGTTTAGACCTATTGTCTTGTGTATGACCCTCTGTCCTGTGGTATTCACAGAACATAGTGCTGGTATTCACTGTAACAGTGAATACCAGCATTATCCTCACTTTAATAACATCTAATTGAATTCCTCAGATTAGGCAAAATTGTAATTCATTTTTGTCAATAAAGATGTTAATAAATAATAATTGGTGTCCTGTGTAGAGGATCCTCAGTGATTAGAAGCGAGGCACGAACTCAGCTCTGTGGCCCCGGCTCCGTCATGGCATTCACGGGAAGGCATAAGACCAGAAACAGGAATCATGCATAAGTGACTGCCATTCAACACGAGGGCGAGGAACAGCACGTGTGAGAATGTAGTGTATCAGCTGACTGTTCGAGTAAGTAAACTGTTTTATTTCATACGCTGATGTTCACATTTCTTGACATTTAAGAGCGACCGAGTGAGCCTGGTGGAGTCAATTATCCCACAATGTGTAAATATTTCTAAGTGTTTGTCTTTCATGGATAAAGAAAGTTTTGTTATGACACACATGGTTGTGTCAATGAGCTCCTTCTCCCTCATACCTGCCGGACCCATAAACAGGATCCATATTATACTAACACATATATAACACATTTTATGAATCGACACCTGTGATTCCCTGCTTCATCAGGCTCAGTCACACACGACCATTATCTGGCACAATTCACTCGGAATTCAGGACTATTGCTCTAGACATTTTACCATTGTTGATAACCACTGTCTGCCCTCCGGTCCCCTGCACCGCCGCCCACACACACGCACTCTAAAGTCATTTCAGACACTGACCTACAGGCAAGATGTGGGGCTGAATTACAGGGAAGATCTGGGTGCAAGACAGAGCTACAGAGAAGGAATGAGTGTGGGAATGAGTTAAAGTGAAGGTGTGAGTATAAGGCAGTGGATGTAGGACTGAGTTACAGGAACTGAGTGTGGGGAATGAGTTACAGGCAGGATATGAGTGTTGAGCGGAGTTACAAGGAAGAGTGATGGAGTGATACCACTCTCTGGACCCCTGGGTTTGGTACTCCAATCCCTCTGCTTGCTATATTTGGTACCAATCGATACTTGGTCAACAGTAGAGGCCCAAGATGTGTGTGTGTGTACTCATCTAGTTGTGTTTGTGGAGGTTGAGCTTTGGCTCTTTGGTCCCGCTTCAGGGTACACATTATTATTATTATTAACATCTTTATTGACAAAATAAATTACAATTTTGCCTAATCTGAGGATTTCGATTAAGTCTTATTAAAGTGAGGATAATACTGGTATTCCCTGTCACGCAGGACAGAGGGTCATACATAAGATAATAGGTCTAAACTGCAGGCGGAAGTACATATAGATGTATACATCATGGTTACAGTCAGTGAGGGCCTTCACTGTGTGTGGTGAAGCAGGGTACACAGAGGGCTCTCATGGTGAACAACAACAACGCCTTCTTGACACCATCTTCTGGACTCCTACTGAAACAAATCTCATCCAGTGACAACCGTTACTTCCTTAATGTTATGTTCTTACCTTAAATTCTTCCTTAATGTTGTGTTCTTACCTTAAATCGTAGGGCAGCGTGTCGCATCTGGAAGAGAGGGAGACATTCTTTTAATATTTTGATATTAATATACACTTAATGAGGGAGACACTATTCATATATATATATATATATATATATATATATATATATATATATATATATATATATATATATATATATATATATATATATTAAAAAAAACGAGGTAATGTCGAACATTTTCAAGATGAGTATGAATGACATACGATTGTGAAAAGTAAAATAGAAATATGGAAGGAAAAAAAAGATTGTGGAGAGAAGTATAGAGATGAGAGGCAATAGAAAAAACAAAGAATTACGAAGAGAGGAGACAGAGTTGAGAAGGAGGAGGGGGAAGATGGAAGGGGGGAGAAGGATGGAAGGAGGAAACTTCTATCTACAATATCTTCTATCAACAAAACCTTGAAATATTTAATAGTTCCGCCGTACATACGGACACGTAGCACATACATAGATAAAGTTTATACAAATATATATACGGTCACTTAAACAATACATACATAAAAGGCATTAATTGTACAATTTATGTACAAAGTTAGGACACTGTGCATATTAATATCATGTATATACTGGTTCATAACACTTTCCAATGTGAAAATAGGGAAGAAGAGAGAGGGAGGAAGAGGGAGAGACAGGATTAAGAAAAGAGAGTCAGAGGGGAAAATATGCGGGTATTTTGCGAGGGAGAAAATCTTGTAACAATGTTGAAAAAGCCATAACAGCCAATAGTGACTTAACGAGGGAAGGGGCGGACACACGTGGGAAAAGACATTAGGAAGGAAAGAGAGAGAAGAAAATGGAGAGAAAGAAGGAAAAGGGCGGCCGGGGGGGGGGCTAAAATAATGTAAATAAATGAAAGAAAACAAAGACACGAGGAATGGAGAAATATGACAATAACTAGAACGTATAATAAAGGGAAGAGAGGCGAACCAAATACAGGTGTAAAATGAAAGAGTAAATAAAAATGGAAAGAGTAGATAGTAGAGAAATAAAGGGAATATACAGTAGAGAAATGGAGAAGAGAGACACAGGATATAATATGGCCGGAAAGAGGAAAGATAGCAGGACAGAGAGAAATTAGAGAGAGGAGCTATGGTAGAGAGAACAAGTAGTAAGTAATTATCAAAAGAAGGCACCAAACCGGGAAGGCTATGTAGCAGGTAGAGGGAACAAGAGACACAACGTATTAGAGGAGATGTTAAGGTCACCCTCCATTAGCAGGCGATAAGTCACAATAACGTGGCTAAAGTATGTTGACCAGACCACACACTAGAAGGTGAAGGGACGACGACGTTTCGGTTCGTCCTGGGTCATTCTCAAGTCACAATCGACTTGAGAATGGTCCAAGACGGACCGAAACGTCGTCGTCCCTTCACCTTCTAGTGTGTGGTCTGGTCAACCCCTTCATTACTGTTTCTGTGTGTTTTCTCCTACCACCCCCTTCCTTTTTGTGCTTTATTAGATATTTAAAGGTTACAAGATGTACATTACTTAATACAATGAGTGTTTAAAAGTTATGGATCTCTTGGAGCTCCTCCGCTTCCGGACAGGAACCGAGGACGCAGCAAGCGTTTTCTCTCTGGATCGCCACACAGAGGCGCTGAAACAAGAAACTGGCAGCCCTTGGGTCTCTGGTGATGTCAATGAGTCTGGAACCCAATTCCTTGAGAAATCCCAAGACGCTCCTGCCCCAGGGGTCCATGCGTCTCAGACGTTATGGGAACAAAGGTGTATTGATCTTTCAGTCGCCTGTACTGAGTTGGTTTTGCTGTTTCCCTGTGGTCGGCCGCCCCACCTGCTTGATCAGCACCGAGGTGTATGTAGGTGTCAGCCAGGGTGGATACACATGTGTATTGATGTTGACCTGACCACACACTAGAAGGTGAAGGGACGACGACGTTTCGGTCCGTCCTGGGTCATTCTCAAGGTCCAGGACTTGAGTCCTGGACCATTCCAGGTCCATAATCGAGTTGATAATGGTCCAGGACGGACCGAAACGTCGTCGTCCCTTCACCTTCTAGTGTGTGGTCTGGTCAACATACTTCAGCCACGTTATTGTGACTCATCGACTGCATGTGTAGTCTCGACCCCAGACAGCCAGGGGGGCTTCATGCACCTTAGCGTGTCCAGTACTATCACCATTAGGCCACAGCAGTCGTCAACATACAACATATATCAACGGGAAAAAACTTTAAGTCTGACAAAGCTGAGTTAAAAAAATATATGGGCATCAAGATTAGTAGGGATCTTAAGCCATGAAGATTATTTATACATTTACTAAATAAAGCAAATAGAATACTAGGATACATAAACACATGGTGTATCTTAACTGTATCTTACCCTTGTTAGACGCCATTAAGATTATGAGGTTCAGTTTTCGCCACCATACCATAGAATGGACACTAATTCTTTAGAAAATGTACATAGAATTGTTTCAAGACTTGGTTAACGAAAATATGAGTAATTGTGGTTGTAATAACTGTCTCCCAGTGGCTAATAGACCAGCTACAGTTGCCTGTGTTCTTATGACCTCGGCTCCCTCCCAACATATGAGGTCAACAACCCACTCAGGAGTGTTCTACTTACTCTAAGTCATCCCTGCTTCTTTTTCTCTGGCTCACCACCTCCGTCTTCGCCTGCTTCGCCTCGAGAAGCTTGAAGGTGTCTGATCTGGTTCGTCTGTGGTTCCTCAGTGCCCCCGGAGTCTGGCTACCTCCGGGGCGGTACAGGACTCCTGCTCCGTCTATCTTCTCGATGGTTCCGTTCAGCGCGAAGTCGGGAGAAAAAGAGGAGTTACTCTCCTTGGTCGAGGAGGAAGAAGATCCAGTTGGCGACGGAATGTAGAATTGACAACGAGATTTAATTTTGGACCCGGTTAAGTGACTGCTTGGGGACTTCTTGGTAGAGTCCTTTCCAGGAGATATTGGTGAAGAACTCGACTTGGGAGACGAGGAGGACCTGGAAGACCATTCGAAGGAGAACCTACTGTGGTCAATGTTTTTCCTGGTGCTGGGGGAGGGGCTGTGGTGAAGAGGAAAGTTAAGAGTTTTCCTTTTCTTGGAGTCCGACGGCGACGACGATTTGCGGGAGACGTGGGCAGTGGCTCCAGGGGAGCAGGGTGGGGATTTCTTGGAAGGCGACCGCAAGCCGTGGAAGTTGAAGACACGACTCAGCATCACCATGGCTGGGCTCTTGGGGCCTGACGAACCAGAGCTTCCTAGTGGGGAATGAATCGGGTCACTTTTGGCCGAATCAGGGCCGCTGTCTGAGAAGCGGTCAGAGCTGAGACGGGGCGATGAAAATGACCTGTGGACTGGGAGTCTCAGGGCCTGGTGAGGACCCTGAGGACCTTTGATTTTGCGACGCTCCTGGATGCTGTTTTTCCGCAGTCTGACTTCAGGTCCAACCTCGGCGGGTTCTTCAGAGATTGCTGCTGTCTCTCCATCCTCACTTATTTGTACGTTGCTCTCTCTCGGTATTCCATTATTCTCCATTTTACCGCTGGTCTTCGCGTTCATATCTTCTGGCCTCTCAGTATCTGCTTCTTGATTGTCTACATTTTCTGGTTCTTCTTGGTTGTAGTGTCCTAGTTGTTCTTCTCGTCTCCTAGTTTCCATCATATCCACCACATCCACGTTGGCACTCCCGTTTGTCTCGCTCGTCCCACGTTGATCCATCTCGACGTTATCCACCTCAGTCGTCAGTGCTTCCACAACAATATTATCTGTTTCCATGACGCCGCTGACGTCTGCGGCCTGACACCGCTGGTAACCGCAAGTCGCTGCCGGAAGCGTCTCCAAGCAGCTACATGGTCTTGTCTCCCTAATTTCCAGTTCGTCAGTCATAACCGGTTCTCTATAATATGTCTCACAATTATAGTATAGTACTCTCTTCGGGTACGAAAGAAGCTTTATCTTCCTTCTGAACAAATGTCCACGTTTATCTTCCCCTCTGTTGCTTATGATATCCAAAGAAAGACGTGTTTCTTTCCTGTCTCTCCAAGACTATATATCTCACCTCTCAATATTCCTTGCAGGTTATCTCTCAAAGCAAGTACTGAAAATATAAACTATCTCGACTGATAATTGACTTCCTTTCTCACATCCAAGTTAGTATTGAAATTTCTTTTTCTAGTTAGATGTCTCCACTAACTCAACTTGTGAGCAAATAATTGGAAACATTTGCAACCAATTTACGTTTGTGGCTGTACGAAAGGTAGTTAGTGATTTTCAGTGACACTTTGCCATGCTCCCTGGAAACACAAACCCAAACTGTCTCTATTTTCCGCTTGTTACAACTTGTAATAAAGTTGTTACATCTTGGCTTAACGTGTTTATGACGTATTAGAACGTTGTTACAACTTGCTATATTGGTTGTTATAACTGGTTAGGAGGTGTTAAAACGTGTTCGAACGTTGTACCAACGTCGTAGTTTCGGTGTGTGTTTGGCGGGCTGTTGCTTCAAGAGTAAGATTGTGCGACTGTCAGTTCCTTAGGGAGATTTTTAACTTTCAGAAACAACTTAATCCTTACAAGTGAACTTAGAAACCTCATTTTCTCATGTCGAAACACTTTCAAGGATATAATCATGTTTATGAAGAAGAATTTCAAGACTTTCTCTAAAAGAACATGATTTTGTCAGACCCTCATTTTCTCCAAGTTTCCAGGTACCTCCCAGCTTCTGATGGGTCACAAATCTCACTCACTCAAAGATTGCCTCATTTTCACAATCAGAATATTTTCTCAAGTGCAACATTTAGAGTTTTAAAGCAGAACTCTTTCAGTTTCACGAATATACGATAATTTCTACGAGATCTCTTTCTTAGCACTTTTAACACGAGTTCTTCACTTTCACCAGTAAAATATTATGTCCGGAACGTCCGTGAAAGGTAAGGTAATTACGAGAGGGAAGCAAGTACTGTATGTAGATTAACGAGTGAATAAGCCGATATGAAAATAAGAAATGATTAATAAAGATGGGACAGACAGGGAGACGAAGAAGAAGGA